AGGGCAGCAGGAATAAATTGATGTCTTGAAAGAGGCTCAGGGTGCTTGAATACTGAGCTGCCGTCGCGAACTTATTTCGTCTCGTTTTTCCTCGGTACCGTATCCGTACTCTCTCAATACCTTTCTGTCTCCCTGTCACGGTAGAGGGTGAATTGAGTGGCACAAGAAAAATTTATTAAACATCCTCTCAGATCTTCGCATTACTGACTGACATTCTGCGTGAATCTAAATAAGCGATAAACGATAGACAAATTAATAAGCGGTTAAAAAATATTGTCACGTCATTAACAAGTTCTGCTATCACTTTAACGGCAGTTTTTTTAAAATTATTTACAAAGATGCTGGGAAATGATTCTTAAACCATTACTATTGTAAACAACTGAAATCGTTACGGAATGTTGAATATTGCATTCAATTTGGGGTTCTTCGTAGTCACTATGCCATCACTGTGGGTTGCGTATTTCCATCTCGCAGATTTACATAAGTGACTTATGGTCAGCAAGTATTACCCTCGTGGCAGAGACACGGGGTCGCTCGGTCGTATCTTTGATGCGACGTTCACGCGGGGATTCAAATGAGGGACGGTCGTTACGAGATCCGGTGTGGAATATCATACGAAAGTATCTGGTTTCGTTATTCGCACATATTCGCGCGATGTTTGCTAAAAAATCGAGTAATCTAAATTTTCTTTTTTTTTTTAAACGATCTGATATTTATCTCTTTCTTATCGTAAACAGTAACAATTATGAATAATAATATCATATAAACATTTTTATCAAAATTTTATCAAACTTCTCTCATCAAAATCGCTTTGCACAATATTAACTAACAATGTGTCTGTTTGATTCCATCAAAAACGCGATTGAAGATTCATTAGCCGCGCTATTGTAACGAGATATACATGCCCTATGACGATAATGAACAAATCTCGATGTAACCATTCAATTAATTTATTCGATAATACTTCTCTAAGAGAGTGGTTGCGGCTTTCAATTATCCATCGAAATTGTATTCATTAAATGCGGAAAATCCATTTCAATTTTCGGATACCGGTATTCTCTTGCTCACTTTAATAACTGCTGTTAAAACACTTGTGTATCTCACTGTTTGCAAATTACATTAATCCCGCAGAGAGATAACGCTATCAGGCTCACCGCGTTTAAGATTAAATAATGCAGTATCAGCGAAATCTTGGCAATGATGTATGCAGATACGAAAACTAAATGTATAGATTTAATTTGAAGATTATCGCGGCGGAATTATTCGATATGTAACGCGCGCGCACGTATTACACACAAGCACGTTGTCGATTTTTCATGTATAATTAGCCGTCACCGCTTAACGAGCGTGCGATCCCACTCTCGCGATGAAGATCCATCGCGCGTTATAACTCGTCTGACAGCGACATAAAAACGCGATTTTTTTCATACACATATACATGGTGTCTCGGATTTCCCGCATTTTATCTACGGACTATTTGAATAATTTCAAGTCGATCTTTTACCGGCGTCTTCGTATTTCCGAGAAGATGATATCAATTCTAATTTGGTCGAGGCACCCGTGCGTGAAAAAGAGAGCGAGAAATCTCTGTGACATCCCGTATAATATCACGCGCAGAGACCGTATGAATGATCGTTAATTAATTCCAGACACGGAGCAAGCAAAACGACCCGCCAGCAAAATAGCACACCCGCCTTATATTTCCAATTTTTCACGCGCATATGTACGAGCATAATAAATACCAGCGGCGGTTACCTTTCGATGACGCGAAGTGCATAGCAACGAGAGGACACATTTTTTTTCTCCCTCCCTTTCTTTTTCGAAGCATATTGTTCCCCCAGCCAGCGTTTTCTCTGTCGCAAGGAAACGTAGAAACGGAATCCCTATCATGAGCGAAACGTTTTATCAGATAAAGTCATGCTATCGGTCTCGCCAGATAAGGGAACGGTGACAGACGATGACATACGACGCCCGTACTTTCGGAAGTATACGTGTCGCACTAGCTATTTTTTTCCGCTCCCCATCTCGTACATGATTCTCACCTCTATCGTCGTCTCGAATGGAAGATAACTAAATAAGGTAAGTAATATTTCCAATATTATAACTATAATCTAGTGATTAGCATAAAAAAGAAATCGACGAATTATGACACGCCGATAAATGGCTCTGAAATGTGTAACCAGAATAATTAAATCCGCAATTTATAAAATTCGTTCTCTTCAAAAACAAATTAATATTTAAAGCTATTAATATTTAAGTTTTATTTTAAAAATGTTAAGAACTTGTGGATTTATTTGTGCCGTAATAATACGCGTCTGCGGATGTCATTTGAATGGCTGACGATGAGTGTTTTCTTCACGTGACCGTTATCAGGTATAAAATTCAAGATGAGCACACACTTGATTAAATAATCGATCGCATCTGAACGAGCGCACTTCCATTCGCATTCGTCCTAATCCTATTTGCACTTTAGCCACGACCCTCCGCCTCTTAAGTCCTCCATTATTCTATATTGAATTGCACATAAATCTTCATAGCAAAAGAGCAACTTGGACTGTGGACCACCTGCGAGCCGGTAAAGAAAGCGCGAAGTAATTTCTCTTCATCTCTTCGTGCGATAGTAGCGGAGGAGCGGAATAAAGCGGTTTTTTTTTCCCCGCTAAAGTAGATTCGTCTCAATCTCAGACCTAAAGAGCCCTAAGGATAGAAGGCATTAAATAACCGTCCTCGTCGATAGGTCATGGACACGCTCTATCCGAATCTCTACGAGCGCTTCAAGACCGAGGGACTCTGTCCCATCTGCCTCATGGAAATGGAACTCACGCCTCGGTACTCGTGCGTCAACGGGCACACCGTGTGCCATCGTTGCAAGCCCTACTACTACGGCTGTCCCACATGCAAGGCGCCCTTGGATGTGGAGATTCAGCCGCTACAGACAGACGCACTACCGCCGACACACTACATGCCGCATCCCATGCCATCGCGATCGTACAACGATCATAATCCCAGCGCGCCGTCGATGAACGACTTCCTGGATCGCGAGAAAAGGGCTTGGGAACCGCCCGTACCGTTGGAAAATCAACAGCTCGAATCGTGCTCGTTCTCTCATCTAGGATGCTGGGTGAAGATACCGGAGCATTTGCGCGTACTACATGAGTCGAGGTAAAGGTTCGAGTTATTTTTACCGTCAATGTCACGTTAATCGTTTTAAAATTATAATTTCAGGTGTCAGTTTCGACCGCATTTGGAGGAGGAGCACATGCCGACCGATCTTCATCACGGTCATGATGATTTGGTAGAGTGCACGTATACCGCAGCGGGTTGCAAGGTACAAACGGTGCCATGGCGACGTAGCATTCACGAAAAGTTTTGCATCTATAAAGACAGGTTCCAAGCCGTAAACGACATCAGTGACGGTCTCGCGTCCGCAACGATCGCCGATAACGATTACGGCGGCGATCCCGACGAATTGGTGCAGTGCAAGTTCGAGCGATACGGCTGCATGGTGAGAATGCCG